GGGGGACAACCAGTTTAACTAGTTTAGGGATAAAGCATAATACAGGGACGTATACTACAGCTTTGAAAAATAAAGGGCAAAATCCCCCCCTCCTCCCTCGTGATACATGTATTGCACAGATGGAAACTCTGCATTGTAGATTGAGGACGGAAGACCAAAATTTCACAAAATATACACCCTGTATTTTAAAAGTATACCGGTGTATACTAGTGTTATCCAGTTTTTTTCAATTTTAGATTTAGACTTTACAAATCAATGTTTTCCTAATCAGGGGTGTATTTTTAAGAATTAAATGAATGAGGGGGGGGGGATGCAAAATGGGACATAAAAAGGCAAATTTTTTCATTCTTTTTGATATTTAAAACCCAAAAATCATTAATTTCCCCATTCAGCGAAAAACTTCTAAATATTTCATATATAACTTCTGGCGAAAATAAATGGTTTTCTAAGAGAAAGTAGGAAGATGTTTTATGAAAATATTCACTCCTACTTCACTTTTAATTTAATTGTTAAAATATTAAGTAACAGTAAAATTGGATTTTGTATATCAAAGATTAGACTTAAACATAATACAAGGTAAAAGTTTGACATTTAAACCAATTACCAATAAATGAGAAGTTTAAGTTTAGTAACCATAAGCTTAATATCCGGTCTTTTACCTCATCTATAAATAAAGCTCTTTGCTCACATATATTAGTTTTTTGTTTTATATGTTAGCTAGCTGGCCACACAGCTGGACCAAATTGGTTGACATTTTTTTAGGGAACCCATGGGTATCTGGGGGGTAACAAGAATAAACTTGGATTTTTTATATCCAAGATTAAAGTTTGACATAATCATAAGTGGATACTGATAGCGGGGGTAACATATATTTTTCTCAAATTCGATCTTATTTTAACGGTTGTTTTATAACATTGGATTTTTAAAAATTCCAAATAAATTTCATAAACTTTGTCTTTGCTTCATTTTTCTTTAGTAAATAAAAGTTTTAACAAGGTATTAAAAACTAGTTACTAGAAACTCTATTTCGAAACAGTAAAATTTTAAAATTATTACAAAAATAATATATTTAAAATTAAAGTAAAACAAGGCTTTAAATGTGGCAAAAAGAAAGTCTTGGTTTCTATATTTGCTTTAAAACTACACAAGAACAAGACAATATATACGGGTGTATAATCCCNCCCCCGGGAAGGGTTTTGGATAGATGGACATCTAAAGGAAAGTTATTTCATCCTTTTTCATACTCCACCCCCTAAAATAATTTATTTCTCCCTAAAAAACATACCTAACTACTGGAGCAAAAAATGGTTTTTAAAAAGTGATTTCTCAAGAATATTTAAACTAGATCAAGAATACATTACCTCCCAGTACTTTGCTCTAGCATGATCTCCAACCTTCCAGGATTCTACTCCAGGTATATCTCGACCTGATGGTCCTCCGTTACTCCGGGATCCTCCCCCTGGAGGCATACCAGGAGGAGGACGGTTATACTGCCGATAATCAGGTTGAGACCGTCCCATTCCGTTGGGATTGTACCCATTAAATCCCATCCCTGAATTGAATCCATTTTGGTTTACTCCAGGTGCTGATGGATTAAATCCGGGAGTTGAAGGATTAAACCCGGCGGGGTGGAAATTTTGTCCAGCCGAAGGATTGCCTCCTGGAACGGGAAAAGGTGCGGTGTGCCCAGGATTAAGGTTCATATTCTGCATGACAAGGTTTAGGTTTACGTTCACATTCGGGGAATCAAACTTAGGTGCACTCTGCTCAGTTTTAATATTTTTCCCAGAACTGTTTTCTTTTCTTTCGGATCTTGGACCGCCATTTTGGTTTTTATTATTCGAACTTTGTTCACTCTTCTTTTCTCCTCCCTCATTCCTGTTTGATCTGTTCTCTTGCCTACCGGAGATATTTGGTTCATCCCGTCTCCTATCCGACTCTCTCCGGGGCTTATTCGGAGGTTCTTGTCGACCCTGATCTTGTTTATTTCTTCTTTGATCTTGATTTGGTTTCGGTTGGTCTTGGTCTAATCTGTTCTGTCCATGATCTTTTTTCTGTTGACCCTGGTCGAACCTACGCCTGTCATTCATGTTTGTTGCACCCCCCTGCTGATCTGATTTAGGACCCCTGGAACCACGTGGCTTCTCAACATCAGATCTCCTTGTCTCCATTTTAGACTCGGTTCTAGACCTAAAATAATATTCATATTTGCATTTTTCTATAATTAATTCTCAAAGTCTTGAATTTTCTGAGTTTTCTAATTGCATTTAAAAAGATATTTAACAAATATTCTACCAATAATCCAGGGTTCCTCCCAGAGCAAATTTGGGTCAGTTTACCTGACCCAACTGACCTGCCACTTTCAGATTTGAAATTTTTGGGCAAAAATCTGCCAATTTAGGAACACAAATTACCAATTTAGAGAACTAATATGCCAATTTTGGGGAAAAGCTACCAATTAACGTATAAAATCTGCCACTAACATAAACTTAATGCATACAATTTGCTACACAAATCATAAATGAGCATCTGCCACAAACATAAACGTAATGCAAAAAAATCTGCCAAAAAAATTATGAATGAGCTTTAAATCTGCCACAAACATAATCTTAATACATGATATCTGCCACAAAAATTATTAATGAGCTTTAAATCTGCCACAAACATAATCTTAATACATGATATCTGCCACAAAAATGATGAATGAGCTTTAAATCTGCCACAAACATAATCGTAATGCATGAAATCTGCCACAAAAATTATGAATGAGCTTTATATCTGCCACAAACATAATCTTGATGCATGAAATCTGCAACAAAAATTATAAATGAGCTTTAAATCTGCCACAAACATAACCTTAATGCATGAAATCTGCCACAAAAATTATGAATGAGCTTTAAATCTGCCACAAACATAATTTTAATACGTAAAATCTGCCACAAAAATTAAGAATGATCTTTAATCTGCCACAAACATAACCTTAATGCATGAAATCTGTCACACAAATTATGAATGAGCTTTAAATCTCCCACAAACATAAACTCAATGCATGAAATCTGCCACACAAATTATGAATGAGCTTTAAATCGGCCACAAACATCATCTCTATGCATGATATCTGCCCCAAAAATTATGAATAAGCTTTAAATCTGCCACAAACATAAACTTGAAGCATGAAATTTGCCACAAAAATAATGAATGAGCTAAAAAAAATGGCACAAAATATTGTTAACACATAACAAATGCATATAATCTGCCACACAAATTATTAGCAAGCTTAAAATCGGCCACAAAATTGTTTTTGCACAAAAAATGTCACAATTGCTATACCAGCTGACACATGCAATCAAAGCTTAGAACTTATGCCACCTTAAATATTTGGTGGGGGGCGGGGGCGGCGGATTTTCTAATGATTCCCCTCCCACCCTCATGCAGCTTTAAAACCAGTTGCTTGTAGGTCGGATGTGTAGTTTAGCGGATTTGACGTAGGTCAGAAGTTGAGTATAGCGAATGTGCGTAGGTCGAAAGATACGCCATCAGTTCTGCTAAGGGTGAACGCGCAAAACGTGTAAATCTGGGGCCTTTTCTGTTATTGGTTAAAATTATTGGTCTGTAATTGGTTAAATTAAGCGTCACACATGTATTCCCCCTTTTTAAAAGCTAATCTGTGCACATACATGACTTCACAAAAAATGTTGAACAATAAAATATAAAAAACCTCAAAGTTTCATGAAAAACAGTAATGAAAATCTTGTGGGAGGGACCTGGTTATTGACCTTTTTACAACACCAAAACGCTCTTATCTACTACCAAATTCAAAAAAATCCTTGCAACCCCCCACCGCAGAAAACTTCTTTATATTAGGGACCTGGTTATTGACCTTTTTACAGCACTAAAACGCTCTATTCTACTACCAAAATCCCAAAATTTTCTCTGCAAGGGGGGCTCTGCCCCCTTGCGACCCCCCGCCGCAGAAAACTTCGTCGATGTTTTCGCGGGCTGTGTGTAAATTCTGCCACTTTTTGAAAATCTGCCCCTTTTGCTTTTATCCTAACCTGCCACAAAAATCCTGGGAGGAACCCTGAAATAATTAGTCTCTTACTGTACCTTGTGTCATTGCTAGCTCCTGGAGGTTTGGAGTCTTTGAAAAGATCTTCAACAAATCTATCTGAACGTGCTTCAGATCCTTTACCAGAGCTTGAACCGTGAACAAATATAGGATTCGAGGTTCCACGAGGCTCCCTGGAGTTCCGTCCTCGACCCTCTTTAGACGAACCAAGATCACCGCTTTTAGGTCCGTTCCTGTTATCTCTATTATCACGAGCTGAGTCTTGGAACCGTCTATCCTGTCCTCCTGCATTCTGTCCACCTCGGCCCCCTCCTCTTCCACCTCGTCCACCACCTTGTCCTCCCCGCATTCCACCCCGTCGATCCTCAAACTTTTGAGTACGCTCATGATCTTCATTTCTATTTTTGAACTTGTTTCTGTCGTTATTTCTGTCGCCATAGTTTCGCTGGTCTCCGAAATTTTTCTTTTCCACATTTGCATCTCTGTTCTTTTCCCTTTTAAGAAAAATATATATTCAAATTCGGATTTAAGGTAAAACTAATTTTTAGGAAATCAGTGCAGTGTGCAGTGTAGGGTGTACACTGTGTATAGTGTATAGTGTGCAGTGTAGGGTGTACAGTGTATAGTGTACAGTGTGCAGTGTCCAAGTATAGTGTACAGTGTACACTACACTTGGAAACATATAAAAATACATATACTTAAAAATTTTATGCAAAGAGGAATTAAATAAACAAGAAAACGCAAGACTTTTTCACTGAAATTTTGTAGTACACACTGTGTAAGAGCTAATAATCTTAGGTTTGTTTTACTAACAATCAGTTGTCCAAATGGTCCCAAAAATAACAATGCATATTCATTAAACAACGTTGCTTTTTAAACCTTTGTCTGAGCAAATATTTCATTAGTGTATATTTATTAACTGAAAATTTCATAATTTTGATTTACGTTGTCTGTGTAAAAAATAATTTGCGGATTTTTGCAGAAGAAACAAACTTCTTCATTGCTGCTTGTTGCTAGGATAAAGGTGTAATGTGTTCCGTTGAGAATCAGACTATATAATGTTTAATTGAGGTCGCTAAATAAAAAGAATAGCACAATTTTTCTTGAATATATTTCCTATTGTCTCCGCCAAGTTTAGGTTTAACCTCTGGTATCTTCTCCTCGAGGAAATCAAAGAGTGAGACCACTTTGGACGGAGCTGAACCTGTTGGTTCCTCATCTCTCTCCCTCCGTCCTCTTCCACCTCGTCCTCCTCCCCGTCCTCCACCTCGTCCTCCTCTTCTTCCGTTCTCCTCGCGATCATACTCGGAGTTATCTTCACGTTCCTGATTCTACAAATATAAATGTTGCTATATTATTATTAATAACTATAATTAAGATACAAATATTTCAATGTTCCTACTATCCTCCTTTTACTCATAGCCATATCCTCCTAGTATCCTCCCACAATCCTCCTAGTATCCTCCTCCTATCCTCCAAATATCCTCCTCCTATCCTCCTCATATCCTCCTCCTATCCTCCAACTATCCTCCTCCTATCCTCCAAATATCATCCAACTATCCTCCTCCTACCCTCCTAATATTCTCCTAATATTCTCCTAATATCCTCCAGCCTCCTGCTCTTCTCCCACAATCCTCCTCCTATCCTCCTACTAACCTCCTACTATCCTCCTCCTATCCTCCAAATATCCTCCAACTATCCTCCTCCAACCCTCCTAATATTCTCCTAACATTCTCCTAAAATCCTCCAGCCTCCTGCTTTTCTCCTACTATCCTCTTAATATCCTCCTACTATCCTCCTACCTCTTCCCTTACTCCTCCTCTTCTCTCCTTCTCCTGGCTCCGTTTACTCCTACTATCCTCCTAATATTCTCCTTCTATCCTCCTACCTCTTCCCTCACTCCTCCTCTTCTCTCCTTCTCCTGGCTCCGTTTACTCCTACTATCCGCAATCTGTTTTGTTCCTCCTCCAAATTTCTTCTGTTCTCCTTTTACCGCCTCTAAAATATTAAGAAATTTCAAGTTAAAAAATATCAAAATAAAAAAATTATAGTAAAAATAAATTAATAATTAATTTGCGGACTAGTAAAATAAATATTGAAAGATTGAAAAACTCAATTTAAAAAACATGAGCAAAACACATTATTAAAAATGTCTGTCTCGCTCTGATAAAAAAAAAAACAATTATGAAAATTGTGCATCTGTTTTTCAAATAAAATCTTGACGTTTTTATTGTTTTACTGAATCTTTTTAACCAAAAATAATTTTCAAATTTTTTGTTTTATTTTTTTTCGCATATTTTTATCCTAAAACTTGATGAACCATTCAGAAATGAGGAAATTTTTATAATCTCTCTTTTTTTCAAAAAGTTCAGATTTTGGATTTAAAAGTAAAAAAGGTTTTTTTTGCAATTTTTGGTTGATATTTTACCCCTTGGATCCGGATCCGTGGATCCGCATATTTTTGCGGATCCGGATCCAGGAAGCCAAAATCATGCGGATCCCACGGATCCGGATCCGGATCCGGATCCTAAGCACTGGAACTAAAATTATAAAATCTGCCGAGTATCCCTTGGAAGTATTTACATTTTTTGAGGAAACGTTCTTTCCTTGCTTCTGAATTCTTAAATGTTATTAATATTTAAAGATGACTTTGTAAAATCGTTCTTTCGTTCCAATTATTGCTGAAACTCCCTTTACCTTGAATTGCATCTTTCCGTTGGGAGTTGAACTCGTCGTTCTCCTCCTTGTTCTCCGTCACCTTGGGAACCACCTTGGCCTTGACATTGACCAGGTCGTTGTGTTTACTCAGCTTTTGACCGAATGGAATCCATTTAGGAGGTCCGTCTCCTCCACCTCCTCCTACACCTGTCCGCTTCAAGTAGGTCAGTTCCTCCGCCATTTTCCATTTATCAATCAGATGTTCAACCTTGAATAACAAATATTACATTAATTATAATTCTTTAAAGGGACTGTAAGCGTTATTTTAAGTAACACTCCATGCAAAGATGGCAATGCACGATTCACAACGGTACCCTTGACGTCTTTCTGATCAAAATTGTGGAAGATGTGATCGTTTTTCTAGGTTTAAAAGCGTTTACATTAGTCAATTCCATTATGTTTTCCTCTTGTAGAAATGAGCAAGTCATTTTGAAGAGAAACCACAAGTGAAAATAAGTAGCTTTCAGAATTATAAACATTGATATCTAAGTCATACTTAATCAGACAAAGGGTACCGATATTAATTTCCAACTTTGGATAGAGGATCACTTGAAATAACGCTAACAGTCCCTTAAAGAGACAAAGAGATAGAGAACTGAGGAGTGTGGGATAGGGGTTTTGTATACATTTAACTGAAGGACTGCTAAAAAGTAGTTTTAAAAAAACGATTAATAAGGTCGGAATATAGGCAAGGTACAACAGGATATGTGAAAATATTACTTACTCAACTTAGTAACTGTTTATTATTTACAATAAACCAGTTTTCTAGTATTCTTTCTACCTAACAGATAAATTCTTTCCCATCCATCTTTGTTGTACTTTCATGGTGTGTTTGATGAAGAAATTACAGTCACCAATGACCAGAATGCCAAAGTGCTCCATTTTAAAAAAGGCTATTTTTAAATTCATTTGAGAAACATAAAATCAAAAACTGATAAAACATGCGTGAAACCATCGCAAGCATCTTAACTCTGGTCTACAAGTACCTTGCCGTCTAGTAGTTCTATATTGTTGTTGTTTAATTTAATAAATCCTCCAATAACATCAAGAGTGGAACCCTTTAACCGAACCTAAATATTAATTAATCATTAGTAAAAACACGTATTAAAGGAGTTGAAANTGAACATCAAAATTAAAAATTGTTCAATGTTCGCTCTTTTTGATACTTTAAAGGATTTATTAGCGAAAACAAACTTAACATCAAATATTAGTGTATAAACCCGTGAAAAAAAAATAAATCAATTTTCATCTTTACCTTTGATCCTGGAGGCGTTGATAAACTCAGTCTAAGCAATACCAAACATCAGCAGTAAATTCTATAACATTGAAACCACCCCGAAACAAATTGAAAAGATAATTATTAATAAAAAAGAAATCAGTACTTTAACAAAAAAAAATTGTTTCCTTTTCGGAAGAATTTCCAAAATCAGTTATTTTAGAGAATAGACTTCACGTTTTATTCTTTTGGTGTTATTTAATCCTGATTAGTCTTCATTAATCCTCTTTCCTTCTCCCCCTCCCTTCCTCTGCCCCTCCCCCTCCCTTCCTACCCTCTTGGCCAATTTCTTAGACGTTCTACCATAGGTAGAACCATAGTCACACTATGGTAACGTTTTAACAGAGTAGTGTAAATAGATAGATACGACCTTTAGTTGTACCTATGGTAACATGAATAAGAAATCGGCCTTCTCTCCATTCCCTTGGTTGTAAAAACTCCAGCTGTGTTTGTCTGCCTGTCTAGTTTGGTGAATTCAACGCCGTGGCAGGTCATCACACCATCGGTCAACGAGATTTTTAACATCCTAGGGCCTACACCAGACTCCTCTTTTACCTGCAGAATATTTAGAAAAAATTTTGAATTGCGGATGTATGCTACACAAACAGGGAAGGAAATATTTTATAAGACAAAAATGGCATGCCGATCATTCTGAAATTATGGCCGAAAGATAATAATAGTATCTGTCTTTTAAAATAATGAATGTACCTTAGGTGCCGCAATATTCCTGATCTTGGTGATCATAAGCACCATGTTCCCCTGGATACTCTTCAGCTTTCCTCTGTTGATGTCCTCTGGTATACACGAGGAGCCAATATCCTTCAGGTCCAGGTTCAATGCCTAGATTACAGAATATATACAGATGTGAAAAAAGTGCGATTTAACATTTAAGCCTACTGTACGTCGTTTTATTGTTCTAAAGCGTTTGTAGTGGGTACATTGCCTTTAAAATATATCTGAAAATTTGCTCAGTTTCTTTTTCAAAGATGTGTTTAACTTTAAGCCTACTAAACGTCGCTAAAGTGCCCATTGCAAAAACTGACTCTCCAGTGGGAGGCTGCGTGTTAAACAGCCCCTGGCTATCAATGCCTCCCCGTCTCAAGTTTATAAATATGTTTTAAAATATAATATTTTCTATGTTTTTGGCTTGGGACAAATATATATATTTGATTTGATTTGATTTGATAAAGGGGGGAGGGGGGGGGGGGTCCTTGGTGACTTATTTTGCTCTAAAATACCGTTTTGACCTTTACATATAGGGCGGCTTATGATCAGGAATGTGCTCTGTCTCTGTTCAAAAGATTTTTCAAAGCAAACAAAAAATATTCTAGTTTCATGATTGCATTAAATCAAAATTACAGTTAGCAAAAATAACTAAAATAAATAAAAATATTCTATTCTTTTCTTCATAAAGAGACCAAAAAACATTTTAGAGAATAAGACTCTTCATTTAAACTGCAAGATTTAACAAATTTACCTTTTTTATAACATCCTTTGCTGATGGATTAGATAAGCCCTCTGTACATAACTTTATCCCCTCCGGGCTTAGATACCAACCCTGAAATACCAGGCTTTTTGTTCAGAGACGAACATCTAACAATTCTTAAGGTTGACATTTTTTAAATAAACGAATATATCATTTTCTCATAAGTAAATTTGAAACTTTAAAAAATATGCTGTTCACCTTCATCTACTCTCTATCTATATATAAATTTAGCTTCTGTCTGTTTTTTTTGTCTGTTTGTTTGTATCCAATAAACGTCAAAACGACTGAACGGTTCGGCCTCAAATTTTTGTGGGACCTTACGTAAGGTTTATGAATGATCAAAGTTTAAAGAATTTGTGTTTAAAAATTTATTATTTTTGTATAATTTTGAAAATGCGGTATAAAATATTATGAAATCCGCAAACTTTGTTTTTGTTTTATACTTTACAAAGAGAAGATGCTCACAGATAAAGCCACAATTGAAAGCCTAGTAGCTTTTAAGATAAGATAAGGGAGGATCTGAAAACCAGCCCACCTTGGAGAGCCCAGACCGACATCGGGGCTAACTCCCATGAGCTCCGGCACCCCCGGCTCTCCTATTGCAGAATTTCAAAAAAATTTCGGCTGAAAATTTGTTAAGAAACAATTTGAAATTCGAAGAATTCTATAAAGTACCCTACACAGTCCAGGAGTTACAGCTACGATTCACAACGGTACCCTGTAAACATCTGTTTGAGGGAAAATCAGGAGGACAGTACCATCTATCTATCTGAGAATTGAACGTATTGAATACTAACAATTAACTTATTTCTGCAGCATAAATCTACGAATCGCTTAAAAATAGAAAAATTACAAATTTCTCTTTATAACACAGGCTTCCATTGAATCGTTGTGAATCGGACATAATAATAATAATAATACAAAATAATAATCTTTTATAAAAATATTTATCCTCTCTACCTGACTTTTCAAATCTTCCTCTAACCCCATTCTAATCTGGAATAAGATCTTATTATATTGAGAAAAAAAGAATCTACAGCTAACACCTTTAAATAAACGGATTTGCAAATTCATTTAAAAGTTTCCGACTCTGGATATATCCGGGGTTTAATACGAGCACTGGATTAACTAGAGATACAACCAGTATTAATCTTAAGTAAAGAACAAGAGAAACCTTGGTAAAAGGAACTAGGAGAATATGTAAACCAGAAATCAGATAAACAAGAGAAACCTTGGTAAAAGGAACTACAAGAATATGTAAACCAGAAATCAGATAAACAAGATAAACCTTGGTAAAGAGAACTAGGAGAATATGTAAACCAGAAATCAGATAAACAAGAGAAACCTTGGTAAACAGAACTAAGAGAATATGTAAACCAGAAATCAGATAAACAAGAGAAACCTGGTAACAGGATCTAGGGGAATATGTAAACCAGAAAAACAGGATTGAAAGAAACGAATATAAAACAAGCCTAAGAAGCCTGGAAACCAAAGAAACTGGAAAAATCTAAGTAACCCCGGGAAGACTAAGAGGAAAAAGCACAAGAAGAACATAAAAACAGTTCTTAGGATTTTATACATATTAAATTAATACTTTTCCTTAACATCTAAAAGCTTAAATAGACTTTACTATATTATTTGTAATACTTTTAGTTCTATGAGTTTTCTAATGAGATTGTAAATTTCAGGAACACTTAAATGAATACTATCACAAAACAGATGCTAAATTTTCAACTTTCCGAGTTGTTTAATGTTGGTGAGGAAATTGACAAGATTGTTTAATTGTACAATTCCTCGAATTCATATTTAAGATTTGAATTTTGAAAATATTGCACGAACAGTAACAACTAAACATACACTGATAGTCTGATACTAGGGTATCATTTAAGCAACATAAATACATATAATTAAGCTAGCAACTGGGGGTTTTATGTATTAGTAGATATATATATTTTCAAGAATGTGAGGGAAGGGGGGGGGGGATTTACACAGAAAAGAAACGAGGAACTTCACTTGGCAAGCGATTTCTCTCTTTTTGATATTCTTAGAATATATTGATAATATAGACTCAAACTCAAAAATTTTCCAATCTCTAAAATTAATTAATTGATTTGAAAAAAAAACTAAAACCGTTCAAATGTAATTCCGCGTTAAAACTTCCTTACTCATTGAAGAAATAAAAAACAGTTAAATAGGGTTTCAAGAAAATATATATCCCTGCATTTGTAGAAAACAGGCAAATTAGACAGCTTCAGTACAAAGATCATGACAAAGCTGCACAGTTAAACAATTGTTAAACAGTATTACTAGGTTTTAACCTAGACTAGGAGTAGATGAACCCCCTGATCCAGGAGTAGATGAACCCCCTGATCCAGGAGTAGATGAACCTCCTGATCTGGGAGTAATTAACCCCCTGATCCAGGAGTAGATGAACCTCCTGATCTAGGAGTAGAGGAACCCCCTGATCCAAGAGTCGATGAACCTCCTGATCTAGGAGTAGATGAACCCCCTGATCCAGGAGTAGATGAACCCCCTGATCCAGGAGTATATGAACCTCCTGATCTGGGAGTAATTAACCCCCTGATCCAGGGGTAGATGAACCCCTGATCCAGGAGTAATTAACCCCCTGATCTAGTAGAACGCCCTGCTCCTGTCTATGAGTATAGCTGTCTCCTCCTGGCCTGTCTCTGTTTATCAAACCTCATTTCCATCTCCTCCAGGACCTTAGGTGTATACCTAAACATAATATTCATGCATTTACTAGTTAAACAAACCTGACTACCATTTTAACAAACCTGACTACCAGTTTAACCAACCTGACTACCAGTTTAACAACACGACTACCAGTTTAACCAACCTGACTACCAGTTTAACAAACCTGACTACAAGTTTAACAACACGACTACCAGTTTAACCAACCTGACTACCAGTTCAACAACCTGACTACCAGTTAAACAACCTTACTACCAGTTTAACAAACCTGACTACCAGTTTAACAAACCTGACTACCAGTTTAACACTGGATTTAGCAGCTTTGAGAAGTTCTACAGCCTTCTCATGAGGTTCTCCTTCTACACTCACTCCATTGACACTCAGCAGTTGATCTCCTCGCTTCAACCCTCCATGCCTTAATTGTAGGGAACAATAAACATTTGTATATTTCGTAGTTCGGTTTCCTACGAGTTTTTCCATCTTAAAAAGCGGTAAAATCTGACATTATCCTCTGCTGTATAATCACAAAAGCCACCTTTCAAGAGAAACCACAACGGAAAATTAACAGAAGAACAAAGATATATTAACATTTAGTTCGGACAAAGAGTGAATATGTACCGTAGAGATATGAATAAAGGATCACTTGAAAATTATGTACAGGTTCTAAAATGAACAAAATTTGGTGAGCTTAAAATTGTTTTTGAAAGAAACTGGATTATTGGAATTAGCAATTTTTAAAGGAGACAGGGAGTGGCATATTGAAGGAGGAGATGTTAGATGGTATAGAAGGGGGTGGGGGGGGGGACGTCGAAGGTNGTGGCATATTGAAGGAGGAGATGTTAGATGGTATAGAAGGGGGTGGGGGGGGGGGACGTCGAAGGTTACCTATCTGCTATTCCTCCTGGGATAATCCTGGAAATGTATATCGGAGAGTTCTGCTCCTTTCCTCCCATAACATTGAACCCAAGTCCTTCCTCAGTCTTAGGGAGTTCCACAACCCTGAAATAAATAGGAAGTTACTTCTTTATTCTAAGCCAATTACAAATAAAACAACTTTAATTGATTTCATTACTAATTTCATATTTAATTATTTATGCTTTCTTTTCATAAACAGTGATTGACATATTATTGTTAAGGTGGCCGTGACGACTTGGACTAATACCTTCCCTACAAAAACGATTCATTTAACCAATTATCTAAGACCCCAGCGTTATTTGTTCTAAGTATTTATGTATATTTATAAGAATTTTGAAGAACTTGACTTGACTTGAAATATTTGATATCAAACGGCAAGTCTTATTTTTTCATCGCTTTTCATACTTATTACACAAAAATATCCAGCAAAAATTCCCATTTAGAGAATTAAACCCTAAAATATTCTTTGCCACTTCGCACAATCATACCTAACTTCTGCGGGGTGGGGGGNGGGGGTATGATTTTCAAACGGGGAGAGGGGAATAATTTAACAAGAATATAAACACCCTGCTTTCGTGCTCGTCAATGCTTCATGAAAAACGCCGAAAAATTACCAAATAATTTCTGATGACTTGTATCTCGTATTACCTGGGATGGGCGTGACCCTCACTAGCTGCAAAGGCAGCAACTGTCGCCTTGGCAGTAGCACTAGCTCTTATATCAGGTGAACCTAGGAAATCAATCAATCCATCCATCAATCAATCAATCAGTCAATCAATCAGACAATTAATCTTTCAGTCATCAACTAATCAATCGATCATAAATCGCCACGAAAAATATTTATGTTACAGAACAAATGTTAAATCGAATACTCGAAATAAATATTTACAAAATATAAATAACTTGCTGAATAATTGTAAGTAAATATAAAGTGTTGAGGTTTTGCCAGTTATCTATATATAAATTTAGCTTGTCTGTCTGTTTTTTTGTATCCAAAAAACGTCAAAACGGCTGAACCGATCGGGCCCAAATTTTGTGTTTAAAAGTTTTTAATGTTTTTAAAAATGTGAAGAAAAAAATATTTTGAAATTCGCAAACTTTCTTTATTTTTTTGAAATAGAATATGGGCATTGGGCGCGAAGCGTCCTAAAAGCCTAGAAGTCTATAAGTCACTTACACAAATAGACACACTTACACAAACATAAATACATATTTCAAAGATGAAAATATGTCAAAAGATTTTACCTTCAACATCCACAGTTTCATAGATGTGTTCATAAACCTCCCTGGTAATTTGCCATATTTAATTCATAAATTTACTATGAACGAGTTGGGTGACGCGGGCATGGGAAAGGGGGGGAGGACGGTCGAATTGAGGAACTCGACATAAATATTTAATCGCATGGTTTATTTTCTAAATCAGTCATATGCACGGGTAGTGTAAAGTTTATATCATACAGAGACGGCTTAAGGGGAAATATTATGAGCGCAAGAAGAGAGAGCAGGCTCCTTCTAGTCCTTTTATTCTGATTTTTAAGAATTGATTAAAACTAACGATAGACAATGATTTAAATATGGTTTCATTCCTGACTGCATTGAGAAACTCACTCTGTAGAACCTTTTGCAGAGCAGCAAGCTTTGTTGCGGGAACCTAAACACGGCATTTAAACAATTCATATCCGGGAGATAAAAATAATATTCCTAATTAACACTATCCCCCCCCCCCCC